TCGCAACACTCGTGACGAAGATGCTATCCTGAAACTCAGAGAGGAGCACAAGGATGATATTCTCAGCGTTGTCCAGACTGTACTCTCTCATAGTCGCATTGGTGCCAAGAATAACCTGATCCTTGCCATTCTGGCAATGTACCGTCCCAACCAACCTGGCGTCGGCAACGTTAGCAAGCATTTCAAGCCGGTTCTCCAGAAACTCACAGAACTTGAATCCCGATCTGCCGCTAAGGTCACTCTGAAGGCACGTGAAGTTCTTATCCAGTGCGCTCTTCCCTCTCTGGAGGAACGCCTCTCGCAAATGGAACTAATTTTACGTTCCTCGGTTGTTGAGTCGCGTTACGGTGAGACCGGTTGGGACCATCGCGAACCCGATTTCGGCGTGCTGAAGGAGGTCGTTGATTCGAAGTACACTGTTTTCGATGTGCTGCCTCGTTTCTTCGTGCATCAAGATGCCTGGGTCACACTGGCTGCTCTCGAGGTTTATGTTCGCCGTGCCTACCGTGCATACACCTTAAAAGGCATTCAGTATCACTCTTCCGGCGAGCCGCCACTGCTTTCGTGGGACTTCACGCTTGATAAGCTCGGACAACCTGAGTTTGGCGGTGTCACGTCGACACACCCGTCGACTCCAAGCACCCCAACAACGGAGAGCAATCCCTTCCGCAGGCTGAACTCCATCAGTGACATGTCATACCTGGTCAATGATGGAAGCAACGAGCCTACCAGAAAGGGTGTCCTTCTCCCAGTCCAGTACTTGGAGGATGCCGAGGAATACCTGCCTAGAGCCTTGGAGGTCTTCCCTCGGGCTGGCTCAAAGGCAAAGAAGCCTTCTGATAATGGCCTTCTTGCCACGCTGGAGGGCAAGCGTCGACCGGCTCCTCGAATTGAAAGCGACAGCGAGTTGACTGGTGTTTGCAATATTGCTGTCCGTGATGTTGAAGACCTTGACGACACACAGATTGTATCTCAGATCAATGAACTTCTGGCTGATGTCAAGGATGAGTTGCTTGCTCGTCGCATCCGCCGTGTGACTTTTATCTGTGGCAAGAATGGCATCTACCCAGGCTACTATACCTTCCGAGGACCTAATTACGAGGAGGATGAGAGCATCCGTCATAGCGAGCCTGCCCTGGCGTTCCAGCTGGAACTCGGTCGGTTGTCCAAGTTCAAGATCAAGCCAGTCTTCACCGAAAACCGTAACATCCACGTCTATCAGGCGATTGGCAAGGGTCCGGAGAGTGACAAGGCGTTGGACAAGCGGTACTTTGTGCGTGCGGTGGTGCGTCCGGGCCGCCTTCGTGACGATATCCCTACAGCTGAGTATCTGATCTCCGAGGCTGACCGGTTGATGAACGATATCTTGGATGCTCTCGAAATCATCGGCAACAACAACTCTGATCTGAACCACATCTTCATCAACTTCTCTCCTGTGTTCAACCTACAGCCGAAGGACGTTGAGGAGGCCTTGGCTGGCTTCCTGGATCGTTTCGGCCGTCGCCTCTGGCGACTTCGCGTTACTGGTGCTGAGATCCGTATCCTGTGCACTGACCCCACCACCGGAGCCCCGTACCCTCTGCGTGTGATCATCACCAACACCTATGGTTTCATTATCCAGGTGGAACTCTACATTGAGAAGAAGTCCGAAAAGGGCGAATGGGTCTTCCATAGCATTGGTGGTACCAACAAGCTCGGATCCATGCATCTGCGCCCTGTCTCCACGCCATACCCCACCAAGGAGTGGCTCCAGCCTAAGCGGTACAAGGCTCATCTGATGGGCACTCAATATGTGTACGATTTCCCAGAGCTCTTCCGGCAAGCCTTCCAGAATAGCTGGACCAAAGCGATCGCTAAGGTGCCATCATTGGCGGAGCAGCGCCCTCCCGTTGGCGAATGCATCGACTACACCGAACTTGTGCTGGATGACACTGACAATCTGGTGGAAATTTCGAGAGGCCCTGGTACGAACACGCACGGTATGGTGGGTTGGCTTGTGACTGCCCGCACTCCTGAATATCCTCGTGGACGGCGATTCATCATCGTTGCCAACGATATCACATTCCAAATTGGATCGTTTGGTCCACAGGAGGACAAGTTCTTCCACAAGTGTACCGAGCTGGCCAGAAAGCTTGGCATTCCTCGTATCTACCTTTCTGCCAACTCGGGTGCTCGTATCGGAATGGCTGATGAGCTGATCCCGTACTTCTCGGTTGCTTGGAATGATCCCGAGAGACCTGAGGCTGGGTTCAAGTACCTCTACCTTACTCCCGAGGTTAAGAAGAAGTTCGACGCGAGCCAGAAGAAGGAGGTTATCACTGAGTTGATCAACGATGAAGGTGAAGAGCGACACAAGATCACCACTATCATCGGTGCCAAGGACGGCCTAGGTGTTGAATGTCTTAAGGGTTCTGGTCTGATTGCAGGTGCCACCTCCAAGGCTTATGAAGACATCTTCACGATTACTCTGGTCACTTGCCGTTCGGTCGGTATCGGTGCCTATCTCGTCCGTCTCGGACAAAGAGCTATCCAGGTTGAGGGCCAGCCCATTATCCTCACGGGTGCTCCGGCCATTAACAAACTGCTGGGCAGAGAGGTCTACACATCTAACCTCCAGCTTGGTGGAACGCAGATTATGTACAGGAACGGAGTTTCGCACATGACTGCTAATGATGACTTTGAAGGTGTGCAGAAGATCGTTGAATGGATGTCCTTCGTTCCTGACAGGAAGGGGTCACCCAATCCGATCCGTCCTTGGTCGGACAACTGGGATCGTGACATCGAGTACCATCCTCCTTCCAAGCAGGCCTATGACCCTCGCTGGCTCATTGCCGGTAAAGAGGATGAGGAGGGCTTCCTTCCTGGCTTGTTTGACGCAGGGTCTTTCGAAGAAGCTCTTGGCGGTTGGGCTCGTACCGTTGTTGTTGGTCGCGCGCGACTGGGTGGTATCCCTATGGGTGTCATCGCTGTTGAGACTCGCTCGGTGGAGAACGTTACTCCAGCCGATCCGGCCAACCCAGACTCGATGGAGATGATCAGCACCGAAGCCGGTGGAGTGTGGTACCCTAACTCTGCCTTCAAGACAGCCCAAGCCCTTCGTGACTTCAACAACGGTGAACAGCTTCCTGTAATGATCCTGGCCAACTGGAGAGGTTTCTCGGGTGGACAGCGCGACATGTACAATGAGGTTCTGAAGTATGGTTCGTACATCGTCGATGCTTTGGTCAAGTATGAGCAGCCCATCTTCGTCTACATCCCGCCCTTCGGTGAACTCCGTGGTGGTTCCTGGGTCGTCATTGATCCTACAATTAATCCAGACCAGATGGAGATGTACGCGGATGAGGAAGCTCGCGGTGGTGTCCTTGAGCCCGAGGGTATTGTTAACATTAAGTACCGCCGTGACAAGCAGTTGGATACCATGCTCGCCTGGATGCTACTTATGGTGAGCTCCGACGTTCTCTTGAGGACCCGTCGCTCAGTAAGGAGCAGTTGTCGGAGATCAAGACCAAGATGGCTGCCCGCGAGGAGCAACTTCTGCCCGTCTATTTGCAGATTGCTCTGCAGTTTGCTGATCTTCATGATCGTGCTGGCCGCATGGAGGCCAAGAACACTATTCGCAGGCCGCTCACCTGGAAGAACGCACGTCGATTCTTCTACTGGCGTGTGCGTCGCCGTCTCAGTGAGGAACTTATCCTTAAGCGCATGGTTGCTGCGGCACCATCTCCCGCACCCCGCGACGCCAGCAGTGGTGCCATCCCAGCCGCACCAGCCGGAAACGTCTCTTCTACTGAATCTGCTCGCTCGATTCACCTTCATACCCTGCGCACCTGGACTGGAATACTTGATGACGAATTGGAGAGTGATGACCAACGTGTGGCCTTGTGGTATGAGGAAAACAAGAAGCTCATTCAGACTAAGATTGAATCCCTCAAGACCGAATCCGTTGCTGCAGATGTTGCGCAATTACTTATCGGTAATAAGGACGGTGGATTGAAGGGTGTCCAGCAGGTTCTGAGCATGCTTCCTGTTGAAGAGAAGGAAGCTGTTCTCAAGTACCTTTCGTCCTAAATCCTACATTAAATATCAAATGGTGTGGATGGCCTCATGTTTTGTTTTTCTTTTACATCATATATAAAGTCATGCACTTGAGCATTGGGAATGAGAGAAGGATCGGGGTTCGGCTTTTGGAGGGTGCATGTTATGTATGTTTCTGTGATTTTTGATGCATATGACGTGTTTGATGTCGGTTATTAAGCATTTCTCCTTAACTATGTGTTCAGTACATTCTAGTTAGAAAAATAAATATCAAAATATCAAAAGCACCCCAAGATATCAGAGTAGCAACTCGGCCCCTAGGCTTGTAAGTACACCGGACCACAGCATTTGAATATTTGAATATCTAAAACAAAAACAAAAAAAAAACCGATCCTGGATTTAAATGAGCAGAAGATAGACTATGGATAATCCAAAGCATCAGCTGGGGCATATCCTTATCAACAACTGAATCTTAGTACATAGAAAGATTATTGAATGACTATCCAGTATATTCAGACGCAGTCCTATCTATGTACAACTATGTTTCTCCGGACGTCAATTTCAAGACGATGAAATCTTGTTCTGATCGCACAGTAGAATGAGAGAGATAAGTGGAGAGTAATAGAAGCCCGAGGAAGTAGATCGCCCATTGTCTGATGAAAGTGAGATTAGAAACTATGTAACAAATGCGCAAAGGGGTATTATTTAGTTCTTTCCCATCCACTCATGTATAATCATAACCATAAAAAAGGTAAGAACAGAATAGCAGAATGCCGAGCCAGATCCAAGAGTCACGAATGACGATATATAGAGTTCGAGATAGCAACTGAAAAGTGGATCAAAAAAGAAAAAAAAAAAGAAAAAGAAAAAGAAAAAGGGAGAGAAGGGGTATAGAAGACAACACAAATGCGGTATGAAGGTTGATGTAAGAGAGTAAAGGAAGGGAAACGAAAAAGAACGAAATTTTATGCGAGCTGCCTCTCCAAGCTGCGGGGTGGAGTCAGGATGGGTGGCATTCCTCGATATGGGGTGGAAACCTCTCGGGCTCGGCTGGGGTGCACCGGGCCCATACTAGGATCCTCTATACGTAGACGTCCGATATCAACTGGAAGCTGCTCTGGCAGTGGGGGCGGGGCGCGATATCTTGGGTTTTGAGGTTCAAAATGGGAGGAACCGGGCGCGGGATACGAGAAAGACTCATGCGGATAGCCTGGTAGACTGACATATGTCGCGTCCAGGGTTCGGGCGATGTCCTCTAACATGACTTCCATTGGGGCGATGTATGCCGTGTGGCTTTTCTCCGACCAAGCTAGGACGTGGCCGCATACTCGACCGGTTGACTTTTCGAAGACCCATGCTCCTGAGTCGCCGGGCACTAGAATAAGTTAGAAAAAAAATCCAGAACAACCAGGGCTCCTGGGTATGCTTACTTACCACCGAAGTTCCCGTCTACACAGAAACTCGTCGAGAAAGTCTGTCGGCCATGGAGTTTTACTATTGTCATTGCTCGAGATATCTGTCCAGTTTGCAAACCGCTGGTTCGACCGCAACAATGAACTTTCAAGCCACCAAGATCTTCGAGGCGTGCGATATCGTTCAAATAAATGGTTTCAGCCTGTTGCATAGGACGTTGACTGAACACTATGTTACGCGCATCAATCCGATCATCGTTTATCTTGATCAAGGCCCAGTCAATTTCATGCTTGATGCCTTTGCGTGTCCAGCGTCTGACGCCGGAAGAAGCATGGACAAATCCAAGAGAGTGAGAGGCTAGATGTTCGTCGTCACGATCTTCAGGACACGGAAAAAATCTTCGTGAACATCGTCGATCGCTGGCTGGGTGACGAATAACGGTGGCTCGTCGCCTGGATCAATACCAGCCGTGTCACCTACAGAGGCCGAGTCTTCATCCTCATCAATGTCAAATGCGTCCTCATCTGAGGAGAATCCATCAGAAAGGTTGAAGTCGTCGTAAGTCCCTTCTAGGCTAAGCGAGATGGAATTATCGTCGCCCTCCTCGTCCTCCGAGATCTCAAGTTCAAGTTCCGACGGATTTTCGTCACACCAGCTGTACATGAATTCTGCTTCCTGGGGTGTGGGATCTCGAGGCCAGTTCCCTGCCGATCGGAGAGGAGCACCGGGATCTTCATCCTCGCCGTCCTCCTGATCACTGGGCGACTCCAACATATGATGTACTGTCATACCGTACGGCATTCCATCCACCAGAATAGCCCCGCCATAAGTTACCGGAGGTAGGTGCTCTTCGTTCATGAAGGCGCCTATGGAGGCACCGCAGAGAGGTCGAGGCTGATACAAAGGGTTTGGGTCCGGACGAAAGGATGCAGGCACGTCGTTTCTCTCGGGACCAGATTTTGCTGGCCTACGACGTTTCTTCCGAGGGACTTTTGAGCGTTGAATGTCGCCACGAAGGACGATCAGATCCCAATCTTCCCGATCGAGAGCAAAGTATTTTTTCAAGGCAGCCCTGACTTTTTTCGCGCTAGCACACGTCACGCAGATTGTCGTCCTGGCACTGTCGGGGGCTTCGCCTGTCATCATGAGAGTGACACTGCACGACTCAGACGAGTCTTTTAAGATCTTTTGTAGAAGTTTTCTCAGCCGAGGTAACATCTGGAAGTTCCATTCGTTGAGATGCTCCTGAGGTATTTCAACATTGGTGAGCTTCTTAAACGTTCTCTTCCGCACTTTCCTCTCATCCAAGCCCATCTTTTCTCTTATCAGTTTCATTTCGGCAGTAGGAAGCGTGGCAAATGGTTCGGTATATGGAACAAAGGGCTCGGGATTGGGGTTATAGTCCCTGATAGGCTCCTTCGTAGCTGCGGGCTCTGATCCTGGAACAAGAGCAAGTGGGAGGCAATCATCCAACTCCTCAGCCCCGGGTGCCGAGAAAATATCGATCCTGCAGCAAGACCAAACGATCTTGGACATAGTGTAAATGAAGTTCATGGAGAATGAGAAGATACTGTCAGGCTCGGATAGATCTAACACAGGATAGTGAAATGTTTGAGGAATCCTGAGGTTGAAGTCATCGAACGGCTGTGTTGAAAGATGGAAATTGGGTGCATCTAGACAGAGCTGTACCACATGAAGGTATGCGCTACCACACTTGGGACCCAGCTTCTGAAGGTAAACATTTTCGATCCTTTGTTTGAACATAGAGTTGTTGTACTTCATCTTCCACAAACGACTAATAGGCGTCCATAGACCGATCTCCATCAATACCAGACCAAGCGAGTAAAGGTCATATGCCCAAGCAGCGTCATCTCCCAGAGACCTCTTATCATCCGGATGACGATACATGCTTGATGAAAGAGGCTCAGGAGATGAGCTGGTCCCGGAGAACTGAGCGAACGAGGTGAGGTAAGGACGCCGCAAGTTCTCTGTGAGTCCAACTTCATCGGTATTTGAGTTTGTCAACCCAGGGAAGACAAGAACATTGCTGCTGTTTATATTTCCGTGCACAAGGTTCTGGCTCCGTAGTTGCAAAACAGCCATTAAAAGGTCATAAGCCAAGCGAAAGCGTGTTTCTAAGTTAGGTACGTGATACTCTTCACCCGACTGGAAGAGCGACAACAAAGGCTTGGGTTTTAGCCCGTTCAGTAGATCGGTAGGGTTGCGTAAGAACGGAAAGTAGTCAACCGGCATCTGATAGATAAAGGCATACCGGGAGTTAGGCATATCAACATAGTAGCCGAGAAACTTCAACAAGCCCAGATGGGAAACCCGGGCGTTTTGGACAAGCTGGTCAAGAGTCTGATGCACATGATCTAGCCGTTGAATTCCTGGTGCAGTAGACGCCCCTGAGTTCTCAAGCATCATGGGAGTAAACTCAACCAGAATGGTGACAGTAGAATCTTTCGTACCCCGCAGAAAGGTGATGCTGATGTATTCATGCGCCCAATGGCCCGGGAATTGGTGGAGGCGGCTACCATTTCGTAGGGTGGGGGACTATTGTCGTGGGATGCTCCGGACAGTTGCAGAGCCGAACGATCGATAATGTATTGGTTCGTAGTTAGGGATATCTTGCTGAATGGCTTATCGAGTTGTGGCTTTTCGAGGGCGGTGGCAGCGCGATTGGAAAACGGCGAATATTCAAGCTGTGTTTTGGGATGCTTGGAGTCAATAGAGGCGCCATGATATGGTTTAGAATCTGGGAAAACGGTATAGATGGTATCCTCTGCTGTTGACCCAGGATATTGTCGTGACCTAGCCTTGGCAGCCGACTGTCCACTGGAGGTCATGTTGCGTCGTGAGCGGGACAGATCGTAAAGGGTATCAATGCAAGCGGTTAGGTCGGCGAGAAGATGCTTAGACCGATTGATATCTTCGTCAGTCCAGTGCGTCTTAAGTGGCAGACTACTAAGACCATCCTTCGAGGGTGGGTCTGACCGAACGCCTTTGGGGGGTAGGTCGGAGGTCCCTGCATGCTGAATGCGTTCTGCTTCATTGAGAAGCTCTTGAATAGAAGACATGACACTGGCAACAACATCGCTGTAGCCAGCTTGTGTTAGCGATTCATCGATATCGTTCGGCTGTGCAGCGCTGGCGTCGCTCCAATCTAGACCCCATGCTAGAAGCCTGTCTCTCTGTGTTCGAAAGCTCCGGTGAAGAGCGACTAGCTCTGGGTCATCAACAGCTTTTGAGGCAGTCGTCACACTCTCGCAAGAGGTCTTGGTGTCTGTATACATCTTGGTAAGGCGTCGCTGGAGGTACGAACCTCCATGACGGAGAACGGACATCTTGGCGCGCAGGCTGTCCGGGACGAATTGTAAGATTCAACAGGGATTCAGAGCATTGCAGATAATACGCCGCCGTTACCAGTGGCAATGCATGGTCTCAAAGACTGTTGCTAGGGGTGTTTTGGTCGCGCAGCTTCAACAATTGTTCAGTAGATATCAAAGTCGAGGGGCAAAGAGCGACAGGAGGAATAAGAATAGATTGAAGGTGGGCAGGAATTCTGTTGCCTAACCAATAGGGAGTGGCGAGTGCAGTAAAGCTCCATCGCCAAGCCACAAGTCCGCGCAAGCTTGGCGCATCACGTGGCAGGCAGCCGCGATTCCCAGGCCCAGGCTCATGCATTAATGATTGGCCATTTCCCGAACAGTGCGCATGCATGACATCCGTGCATCGCCTGCACAAGCCACATCCTTGCCTGTTTCAGAGCGTTAAGCTCATGATACAGATTAGCTAGTAGATCTTTCATGGTTCAGGTCGGCCTGAAAGGTTTGGATATTGCTTGCTTTTGATAGATGAAGTCATTTCATCTTGGGCTTGCAAGATAATCTACATATTAGATCGGCTGTACCTTCGTTGATCATGTTACACCCGACTAATCTTATCTAGTCTGTAAAGTATGTACCGAACCTTATATATCCAAAGTATGTGAGTACAATCCACTAAAAGATGACACATTATGCATTTTGGAGTAAGGGACTACTCTATATGGAAGCGAGCGAGGTAATAATAATAAGGAGAAAAAAAAATAAATCTAAAACAACAACAAAGGGTTTGCTGAGACCCACTTGGATGGATACCCACAGAAGAAATGGACCAGGCAACCATCAAGTAAACCTACTAGGTACAGTGTGAATGTGATCGAAAGGGAAGGGAGAAAAAAGGTTTATTCATCAGTCATAGCATGTACACGAATCGAAGAACTCAAAAATGGTTTCTTTTCAAAAGTTGTTGTATTTAACATCGAATCACCCCGTGATCACTCGTCGGGCTACACCGACATCTTTCGCCCGCTTCTCGCGGAAGTTATGAAGGCGTTCTCCAATTAGGTAGACATCATCTCGGATATTGACCCTCCATTTCTCCACCTGTCGATTTACGAGGAAACCAATCCAAAACAGCAAGCTCAGAAGCAATGTGAGAGGATATGCATAACGGTAAACCTTGAACTGGACCTCGGGGGTGGAATAAAATACGGTCGAATTGACCAGAAACCCGGCCGACAATGGCAAGGCAACCGCAATTGCCGTTAAGAGTATGACTGGAAGTAGTAAAGCACGCGTGGCGAGCTTTACATTGGGCTTCAGCCAACCATCGCGGAATATGCCATTAAGAGCGGCCGCGGGACGAGAGGTGGAATACCAGAGTACGAATTTGATTGCCATTTGGACATAGAGTACTCCAATAGTCCAGTCCTGCACAAAATGGATGACGTGCGTCTGTGCACCATCCAGGTACGTATGCACGGGAACCAACACGTAAAGCTCAATTACCAGAGCAAATAGTGACGGTAAAATCAGCGAGAACGCTAAAGCGATGTAGGAGAGCTGAAGGGCATTGGCTATAGCGCCGGTCAACCCAATACAGGCCTGGCGAGGAGACTGTAAATATGGCCTCAAACGGTCCTTCATCGCAGCAAAGCTGGTGTGACAATAAAGCGCAAGGTAGGCAGCGCTACCAACTATGCAGATGCCTGCTGAGAAGGCATAGATGTCGTTCAGCGGTCGGTTGGGGAAGTGCGACGACATCATTTTCCGGCCCACGACCAATGGAATAATTGTGACGCCTACGCCAGTAGCAGCCGCGAATACCCATATCGAGAAAATAAATGCGGCAATCCGCATTCGGAAAAAGGGCGGAATGTAAACCTTTGTAAACATGGGATTCGCTCGGCTGTGTAGTCCCTCGTTGGTCTCAGGAAGCCCATCGATTCTGTCATTTGATTCCGACACCTCCAGAAACACGGAATTACCCTTGGGGATCCGAACCTGATCAGATGCAGGGGCGCGGACAAATTTACCATCCCGAACAAAGTAGGCATCGATATGCTTGTCATCAGCATCGCGTCGCTGTTCTCCACTTTTTATAGGGTGATCAATATCCCCCTTTGCCCGCGATAGCGTAGCCCACCAAGACCGTCTGACATGATAACCTTCCTCATCTGGCTGTCTCTCATTGAAAAAGAAGTTCGTCAGTCGTAAGAAACGTGCGCACTTATGGAACCACCAATTGTAGAGGCCATGCAATCCGTCCGAAGGTTTGAGCGATCGAATCACAAGGGGCATGAGGAAGTTGTAGAACAGGAGGTCAACGGGGAATTCAAGGACTGGCATTGTGGCAGACCAATGGATAGGGAGCACATCGTCGAATGCATAGTACAAACCCCAGACGACACCACCAAGACAAACGATGACTAGAGCGCCATACACAAGAGCACTGAATGCAATCTTGCGTAGTTGGGTGGTTATACTACGCTCTAGAACATCGCGCACGGGATGAAAGGTCGGATCGTCGGGATCGCGGATGAAATCTGTGGAATGTTGTAAGTAGACGTCATCGAAACGTAGGAAAGGTCGAACATACAGAGAACACCACTTCTCATGATTTTCCTGCACATGGACACAAAAAGAGCGAAGTGAAACATGTAACACGTGCCAATGAACCAATGCACAAACAATGAAGTAAGCGGAGATGACGATGTGAATTCAAGGCGCGATGTAATAGTAGCATTCTCAAAAAGAGGGAGCAATGCGACATCAAGCAGAGTACCACAATATAACGGAAAAACGATCATCTCAATCCCAATGATCAAGATGACTTTCATGACTCCACCAGCTTGGTGCAGAACGTCGGCAATTATGCCTTCAACCCTCTGACCCCTGTCCGCACCTGATAGGAGGCCAGTGATACGAAGGTATAGCAGACCCAAAGCTGACGCTAAGAGATACCCCATTAAAATGGCAATGACTCGATCCTTGGTGTCCCATACGGCCAGTTCGTAATCCACAGCTATGGCACCTGAAGATAACCCCCTCACACTTGCATTAAACCATGTTGCGTTCGAAGAGAAGAGAATTTGATTCCCAAATCTATAAAGTTGACCGCGAGCCTGGGGTATCAAATTGACGAAATCGACAAGTCCGTGCTTGAACGATTGGGAATCAGGTAGTTCAGTAGTAAGTAACTGGAGTGGGAAGTCGTACAAGACAAATTTGCCTATTCCAAAGCATAGCCGAAACAAGCTTGTGATACGCTCTTCATGTATCTTCAGTGCTTGGTGAGAGAGGACGGAGAACATGGGAACATCTGATTCATGGAACACAAAGAAGGAACTAATCACGTTCCCTAGCCGATGACTGCTAGCATCAATGAGTGAAAGAGAAGCGGTGGTGATAGACTTTGTCTGAGGAATCCAGTCACCCAGAGGGAGTAGAGCGCTAAGGGGACTTAACACCAGCTTGACGATAAGACTGACCCCATACATGGCATATCCCAGAATGCCAATTAAAGTGTCAATTGTAACATCTGCAAAAATTGATACTGCCGTCATTGGGACGCCAAAGACCAGTTGTATAGGGTTGGCTAGAAGAACGAGGGCGATTTTACCCCAAAGATAAGGCAACCAAATTCCGACAGAAACCGTAAATGATATAAGCAGAGCGCTGAATACACCATTCTGTAAGAGACCGAAGATCGGACCCTGCATACCGATGAGTTCTAGAATCCCCTCTAAATCATCGCCCTCCTCGACAGCGTCAACATCGTTGCCGTCAATTCCAGCATCCGCAAATATCGCTTGATTATCCTGCGCACCGGCATTGGCCAGGCGTCGATTGTTTTGCAAGGGCACAAATGGTTCTTCTAATGCAGGGTCCTCAACTACGTGTTCCTCATCCGGCTGTGGGTGCTCCTGAGCCTGATCATCAGGGGTGATGTCCGCCCAGAACCAGTCAAAGAGCCTGGTAGCCAAATTACTAGGTGCAGCATTAGGATGTTCCGTCTGTGTTGGGAGCGGCACGTTTGCAGCTGGTTCATGGTCCAAATTGGTAGTATCGTTTGCACTTGAGGGTTCATGCGAGGTAAATTCCTGGACAACTCCAACAAAGTCATTCGCGGAGCTAGGGGCATCTGACTGCGACTCCCCATCCTCTTCGCTTCCAGGTTCAGATTCCGGGAAATCGGAAGCGAAGTCAGTGCGCAACTGGTCCATAGGAGTATCGCTTCCAGATTGCGAGCTCGCAATATCCCAGGGCTCCCGAACAACAGGGGTTGATGACTGCGATGCAGTGTTCCAAAGAGAATCCGGTAGCGACGATCCTGCGGAAGCAATTGTGTTATGACTTGCGGGTTCTGAATCTGTCTCGCCCGGACGCTGGACATAACTGGATGGGCCTGAGAAGCTTTGATTGTGAGGCCAGGATACTCTAGGACTATCACTGTGCTGTAGCTTTGTCATGGCCGTGACAACCCAACTGAGCTCATCCTGACGGCCCTCTTCGTGTATGATTCTTAGGACCTGTTCAGGGTCACCATGCCACGCGACCAGAGGTCTCTGAAGGTCTCGACGCCAGGCCAGGGTTGATTGATTTGGGATGCTGATTCCGCTGCAAGAACATTGCTCGGTCCATCATCAGCGCTCTCCAGGTTCCGATGGAAGGGACCCGACGTTCTGAGGCCATCCACAAACGCCATATTCTCATCCCGAACCGACATGTTCCTAGAAGGCAAGTCCACCTCAGCTACAGCGTCAGGGAAGGCATCGTCAGCGTGATCGAATCCATCTTCATGATTGTGAGTTTCTTGTTCCTGTTGTTCGTTGTCTGGATGTAGAGGTCTATGTTCTCCTAGGCGAGGATTTTCGTCCGCGGGATTTGGACGATTATTCGCTATTAACTGGACAGCCGCTTCCCGTTCACCATCCGCGATATTAGCCATCGGTTGTTGCTGGACGACCCATTCACGGATAAGGAAGATTAGAATAAAGGATATGACAACAAGTAACGTAATTAACTGGCCCTCCAATGTATCGATGAGAATATTGTTAATCGTAGGGGACGGTGTGATATTATTCAGGAATTTGACATCGGACAGCCACGACGGGTGCCGCTGCTTATAAAACCCTACCGTTATATTTGGAGTCCTTCCGGTTGTCGAACTGGAACTTGAAGACATAGCCGGAAAGAAAAGGCCAGAAAATGCTTTCTTTACAATGGTAAGCAGTAGCGGTTCGCCAGACGAGAAGCTAAACATTGACGATGCTGGTGACGGCATGGATTGCGTATCGGTTGTGTTCGTTTCAAATGTAGAGGCCAGGGCTGAGCTTGTCGCAACACCTGCACTAAGAAGCGAAGCGGTGCTGTTTGCCATTGCTTCAGAAAGGCGTTCCTGGGTCGGTCCTTGCATAGCATTATCCCCACCAGACCAGCGGCCATCTGCAAGCCAGAACAAAGCTCTCCAGATGGCCCTCATGGACCAGGGTAACCATCCAAGCCAGACGAATGCAACAAGAACAAACCGCAGCCATGTCACCACGGTGCGAAAGCTATGGACCAACAATTGCTTCAGGAATAGTGGCGTTGGCAAATCTCGAGGCATGTTTGGGTCGTATAGCTTTGTAAAGCGGAACGGTGTTTTGCACAGCTCACAATGTTTCTTCTGCGAGTGTGATAGCCACTCCACCAGGCATGCCTGGTGGACAAATTTGATGCTACCACTGCATTTACAAGGGTAGAACAGTTGTTCTTCCTCCGTACCTTCGCCCCGACATATTCGGCAAGTATCAGGTTCTTCCAAGTCCCTTTCCTTTCCTCTGTAATTTGTAGCGTACGCTGGGTCATTCATGACGTCTGGAAAAGATGGTGCGGCGCTCCTGCATAGTCGGAACGTTGATCCGTCGGGGGTTCCATGATTTCGACAAGTTTGAGTCGACGATCCGATCGTCATTAATAGCGATAGCAAGGTATCATGTCTATAGTTTCCCTGAGTCGCAGAGTAGCTAGGAGTGAGATATGACGCCGGCAATCTAGGGTACCAATGTTAGGCCCCTTACCCTCCAGAACAAAGAATCCTTGAGGAATGATGACCAGCATCGATGTCAGTTTACCATAGGAGATGATGACTCAGCACAGACGACGCCACAGATGGCATCACGTGGGGGTACAGTATGTTACAGCGAGGGAGAGAGTTGATAACTACCGGTGAGGGACCCTAGTGTCACGCTTTGTAAGGCGGTAGATGCGCTGAACTAAACGATGACCTCACTTCAGCCTTCGTGCATTTATCCTCAAGTCTCTCTTAGTTTGATGTTATTGTAATTGAGCTTTCTTCAAGCTATTTATACATATTGAGACAACCCAGCTCCTTATCGACTGTATTTATCGGCTTCTTTGAAGTTCATCATATTTCCACAAAAGAAAATAACACGCGCCAAGACCTGGGCCTTCGTCGCGTGCGAGTCTTGTTGAAACTTAGCGAAGGGCCAGGTTATTGAGTCTATCCTTCGGTCTTAATTCTGCTGAAGCCCACACGGTGTGGCTCCGTAATGCAATTGCGATGATATAGGGAGAACCAGCAAGTTGTTCGAGACCTGTATCTATTTGAATTATACGCGCGACGACACAAGCGCTTGCATCCTATCGACTCAAAATAGGGGCCTCCAATTGCCGAGGCGAGGTCACCAGCGATGACCACCTCAGATAGTGGTCATGCCTCAGAAGGCATTGTTAAAGATGTGGGAGATAGAGAGGTCCAACCGAAATCTAGAACCACAAATACCTTCCGATGGACGCTCGGATTGGTGGTGCGGTATGCTTGTATTCATGTGTAGGTATAGTTTTTACAACCACGATCTAACAATCAACCTACCAATATAGGCTTTGTATTTGGTATATACTGCTCGCCCCATTTTTCCGATGCCCGGCTCAATTTTCGGATTTGAACGAGTCCTCTCCACGAGTCTGCAAGCCGTATCTCGTCGCCCGCTCTTATGTTGAGCCTCACGTTCTTCCATACTACAACACCTACGGCGCGCCTTACTATGAGAAAGCCCGTCCGTATGTGGTGGTGCTCAACGAAAAGGTTTATACCCCTGCCGCGAATGTCGCTAAATTTAGCTACGATAAATATGGCGCACCTGCTTTGGACCAGGCTCATGCGTACGGATCCAAGCAGTGGGAAAAGCAAGTTGCCCCTCTTCTACAGTCCGCAAAAGATGGTGCGAGCGAGTGTATAACGCTGAGGTAGCACCTCAACTCCGAAGAGTCACGGCAGTGGTGTCGCCATACTATCAGAAGGCAAACTCCGCCTTTGAATCGACATGTGTTGGCTATATTCAGCCGTTCCTGGCTCGGACAAGACCCTTTATTGGAAAAACGTATACATCTGGTCAAGATGTTCTAACAACCACGGTCATGCCCTACGCTCAAACGTCATGGTCATCCATTGTCTATTTTTTGAACAGCTGGCTCTGGCCACAAGTTACCGGTCTTTACTCGGAGAATGTTGAACCTCAATTAGTTAAAATCGGGCAGAGACTAGCCAGCTATCGTGAAGGAAAGCAGCTGCGAAATGTTGTGGATGAGGTTGACAAGTGAGTTTCAGATCCTAAAAATGACCCCCAGTAGGCTGACCTCAACTGCCACAAGCTCTCCGGAACAACAGGTTAATGTTGTTCCTACGTCACAAGAAGCCAGCAAAACCGAATATTCTTCCACAAGTTCTACAACGGTAGTTTCATCTGCATCTCGCGCATTGTCCCCTACAGAATTGGCAGCACAAACTCGCGAGAAGATCGAGTCAGACCTGCGGACCTGGCAGGAAAAGTTTTCTGTGGCTGCTGATAAAGGTATTGAAGATCTTGAAGAGCGCCTATATGAACTCGTTGGGGGTTATGTAAATGGCGGCGCGAAGAATCATGGGGAGAGTCTTGTAACGGCTCTAGACGCTGCTGTGGAACACGAACTCTCGACTATCAAGCTTCGTATAGGCGAGCTGACTGAGGCTTTGCCTAGTGAATATTCTCCTGCGGAGCAAACGGCGCAAAGTGAGCTTCTTAACGACATCAGACAAGCCGCAGTCGTTATTAGGGATCGCGCTCATGCTATCCGAGAATGGCACAGTTCATTTGATCAGGAGTTAGTGCACCGTGTCTCTGCAACAGTAAATTCTACCCTAGATGTGCTTGACAGTGTCCGTGACCTGGGGCTTCAGGAAATAGGAATGCGCTGGGCTTGGATGGATGGCGTTACCTACAAAGATTGGGCCAGGTATCATGCACTGAAAGCACAGTTTGAAGATTGGAAGGATAAATTCCGGGAGGTCGGCATGCGTCATCCAAAATTGGAAGATGCCAGGGCACTCTCAGATGATATCCTATCTCGTGGAATGGATGCCGCCGAAGCTGCTGCGAAAGAACTTGCCAGGCTGAAAGATGTCGGTAGATGGAAGATTGCGGCCCGGGAAGTAAGTGACAACTTCGATACTAGGTCTGGCTCTCCACCTCCACGACCGATGCCTAGTGAACCCGCTTTCCAAGAGCATACCTCAGATGCAGACTCTGCAAATCACGAAGCTTCAGTACACCATGAAGCAGACAACGCCAGCTCGGCGGCACAGGATACTGCGGAGTCCGAAGACCAAGCGCTGGGTCTTGACGATGCACCTCTAGAACATGAACAGGCCACTTCGGAGGGCGGGGAATCTTCGAGCGAAAAACTAGAGCCTTCTGAAGCTCGTGCGGAATCCGATGGCCATACAGAGACCGGTCAATTCACAGCGCAGGAAGCTGATAGGGAGGAAGACACCTCGAGACCAACTTGGGGTGTAGCTGCAGCTGAAGCTATACAAGGCGTACAAGAATTTGAGGAAGCGCCAGAGAATATTTACAGTGCTTTAAATAGTGCTCGTGAAAACTATGCGGATGTTGAAAGGTCAGCTAAAGAGGGCTCATCTCGGTCGTTTGAGCAGGCGGCTCACGAGCAACTTGATGATACTCAAAACCTTCATAAGCTGCAAGCGCCAAGCTCCTCGAGCATTCATTACAAAGCTATTGAAAATCTTGTCTCCGAGCTACTCGCTGGGAAAGATCCTTCTTTCGCTCAGGACGTGATGGACAAATTACACGCTATTTATGGAAACTCACACACCGCGTTCGAACCACAAAGAGATATTGTAGCAAACGATAAGACCGCTTCCATTCCATCCTCATCGGCTACAAGCCCCGTTGGTGAAGACCCCGTGAAGAATAGCTATGAACAACCTGACGTTGCTACTCCTGTTGCGGAGTCTACGATTAACAGTGCTGTTTACACCCCAAGTGAGCTTCCTTTTCCATTGGAAAGTACACAGGAACAGGAGGAAAACGACTTGATTCTGGACTCCACCGAGACTGCTGCATATCGTATGCAGAACTCGGACGACAGCCTTGAAGAGACACCTGCTAAGGACGATCTATGATTCCAGAACATACGCAAAGTTTGCTTGCCGCGAACCCAAGCCCCATCTGGATTGGAGAAATATATGGTTCGGTTCAAAGCGATACACTCATGAATGATATCCTTCATTTTTGTTCCTTCCCACTAGCTCATATCCTATCAGATTGATCATGACCTTACTTATTCCCCACATAGTTTTCTGCTAGTATGTTTTGATATATTATATTGCTGATTTCTTGTGTTTGCGTGTACTGCTAAAGCCTATTGATTGTTGTATACACTAGCGCACCGGTGGTTTTGTAAGTCTATATATGTGCACGTCATTATCGTACATTTATGGAAAACGTAATTCAACACATTCTTCATACTATTTCTGTCCAACATTTGAAGATATCGTACCCAATTTGCTCATAGCGATGAGATAGCCCATAATGTACATGCAATAGTCGAGTGCAACAGATCATCGATATTGTACTCGCTGGCCTCCCCTTTTCTCCATCTTCTTCTGCCTCTTACTCTCCGCAACAGCTGGCTCTGTTCCGCCCATCCCGGAAAGTCCGCTCTTCATTCCCGTGAAAGTGGTATATGCCAACCAGACGGAATACAAGGGTACCACAATCCATAGCCACCAGGCGCGATCGCCAAAAACACAGACCGCGCCAATACAGCCCCACGTCCAATACAAGACATCCCACATATATTCTGTTAAACCGGCCGCCCCAAGGTCCTCTCCAGGGGAACGAAGTGAGCCATCGGCGGGATTATAGCGTGGGCGGCCCAAGCGATCGAGATAGAATTCGATAGCTAGAGTCGGACATGCAAAGACAACATAAGGCGTTAAAGAGCGTGGGCGGTTGAATATCCAGTGGAGAAGGAGGAAGGCAGCATGAAGACAGAGAGTAGTTATATGAGTACGGAGTAAGAGGGAGGCATTTCGAGTCGCGAGGGTTTTTGCCGCTTTCTTGAAAGAGGGTCAGCCCTTTAGTTGTCATTGACATATGAAGTCACCAAGGAGTGGTAGAATTGGGGGAGACAAACTTGTGCCATATTGATCAGTCGTCCAAGATTAGTAGTACTGGAGTATTTAGGTATTTTCAGTCGTGTCGTTTGATGTGTCCAGGGTGAATGTAGATGGTTGCAGATCGTATCAGTCGATAGCTCCTTGCAGATATTAGGCTATATATACAGAAACTAAGCCATACTACCTAATCGTGACAGAGCAAGATCGAAGCTAGTGCGGAAGCTCAACGTGGTATTGAGTTCGCTGGTGGAACTTTTGGATTGACAGACGATTAGGGAATGGCGTTGCCCACCACAACCAGACAAGCGCCCGCGCCTCCACCAGCCACTTAGAGTGGTGCATTGAACTACCGCCCCAAAACATCTGATGGCCGAAAAGACATCGTGACGACAATCAAGATCGCCTCTGCCACATCCCACTACACCTCTCTTGGTGAGACTTTGCTGTCCCCGCGCAGCTCTCCTCTCTCAACAGTTCAACCGTCATTCACGACATGCAACTTACTCTCCTCTGAGTCTCAACCTGGCCCAAAGGGGCGTCACGAGTTGGCCGGACGTCATTCACTCTCCGAGACACGACCCTGTATGATATCGCAGGTAAATTAACTGAGGGATTCTGTGAAGGAAGTAATAGGGGAACGTCTGTCAGAGCGATCGTATCACTCATTCCCCTCTGTCGGCGGTCCTCTGGCTATTAACACAACTTTGCATCCGCGCATCACAAAGAATCTCGTGGTTCCTTCGTCACCGGAATTTCTATCAAAGAGCGCTAGCTCTCACTTACTGCCTACCCAATGCTTGCTCTTCCTGAGCGAACTTCTTAATCGTTTCCTACCTGTCTACTCGATCCTCCACCGTGGTCACGACCGACACCGCGCCCTGTTCTTAAATCGCCAAATTTCTCCGTGCCCTCAAGCCTAACCATTCACACCCCAACATGTCGCCGTCGACATCTCATATATCGGGCCAGTTGAGGCAGCTAATATACTATCATCTTGATAATAATCTGATTCGAAATGCGCTATTTCTTGCTGGTCGTCTGCATGCCTATGAACCTCGAACATCGGAAGCTTCCTATCTACTCTCCTTATGTCATCTACTCAACGGGCAAATCAAGGCAGCTTATGATTACAGCAAGAACTTTGGGTCGAGGGGTACTCATTTGGGCTGCTCTTATGTCTATGCGCAGGCGTGTCTCGACTTGGGGAAATATCTTGATGGCATTGCGGCGCTGGAACGGAGCAAAAGCCTTTGGACTTCTAAAAATCATTGGAGTAAGCATTCCATCCTTCGCTTCGCGCTATATTCGTAGTATGAATAATCCCGTCAATGTGGCTGAGGCTGATAATTTCCCGTCGATTGTATAGACAAACACAGCGAAACACGCAGGCAGCACCTACCCGACGCGGCTGCAGTTCTGTGCTTGCAGGGAAAACTATGGCACGCTCATAAAGACCTCAACAAGGGAGTGGAATGCTACGTCGAAGCTTTGAAACTGAATCCTTTTATGTGGGATGCATTTCTGGGTTTGTGCGAGACAGGTGAGTTTGGAGGCAGGCCCTATCATTGCACCGAAAAACTGATCGCCCTATGAAGGTGTCAATATTCGAGTCCCAAATATTTACAAAATGAGCTCCGAGCTACTTTCTGTTCTATCGTCATCACAGGAAGGTATCGATCTTCCGCCTGACAAAGTTGCACCTGCAGGTGGACCGTTGCAAACTTCAGCAAATGTGAATCCAAGCTTGGATCCTTTTATGTCTGCCGCGTCCCGCAGTGATTCAGGCACTACACATGGAAGCTCCGCCTTATGGGAGAAATTAAACGGAAGCACTGTCAGCGTGGCATCGAATGGAACATCAACACCAGCTGTTCGGGAAGGAACAGAAACCCCTGGGGGCCAGAGCAGTGAGTCTGATGAATTTCGCGTGGCTAACGGTGTTGGGGATACATCGTGGGAGCCTCCCTTAGCTCCAGCTAGAAAAAATCGCACGATTCAATCGATCGGGGCAGATCATGCAATGGACCCTCCGCCGAAAATGAAGCCGACGGGTATTAGACAAAGGACGAGAATGAGAGTCGACCAAGAGGAACAAACGACAACCCAATTAGAAAAGGAATCTGTAACAGGATCCAGAGTTGGCGACCGCAAGCGAACGGTTTCCGGCCAGGTAGCTCATCCACCAGCACCAACAGAACCTGGGGCTCCTCAACGCCGCAGCGTACGTCTATTCAACCAGATTAAGCCCACAACTAGCAAGCTTTCAACCACGGCGTTAGGCGCAAAGGACGGCCGGGAACTCAAAAAGGTAAAAGCTACCGGTGCCAAGGGGCGTACTACGGCAGCCACAAGTGTAGGCCGTGTTGTGAGCGGTAATAGAAAGCATATCGGCGAGATACACGAGAGCGATGGGAAAGAGCATCGTCCAGTATCGACTGTTCATAATGCGGCCACCAATATTGCCTCTAAGGCCGCGACGATTGAAAAGTCGAAGTCCATTGAAGCCCTGACATGGCTGTTGGAACTTTTCTCCAAACTGGCTTCAGGATACTTTGCTTTGAGTCGTTATCGGTGTACTGATTCCATACAAATATTCAATGCGCTTTCTCAGGGCCAGCGAGAAACGCCTTGGGTTCTTTCGCAAATCGGGCGAGCTTACTACGAGCAAGCAATGTATTCAGACGCTGAGAAATATTTCGTACGGGTCAGAAACATGGCACCTTCCAGGCTGGATGATATGGAGATTTACTCGACTGTTCTCTGGCATCTGAAAAACGACATCGAACTAGCCTATTTAGCGCATGAGCTAATGGAAGTCGATCGCTTATCCCCCCAAGCATGGTGCGCCATTGGCAATTCGTTCTCACATCAACGCGATCACGACCAGGCTCTAAAGTGTTTCAAGCGAGCGACACAATTAGATGCTCATTTCGCCTATGGTTTTACCTTGCAGGGACACGAATATGTAGCAAACGAAGAATACGACAAAGCACTGGATGCCTACCGGCATGGCATTAGTGCCGATAGCCGCCACTACAATGCGTGGTACGGATTGGGCACCGTATACGACAAAATGGGCAAACTTGACTTCGCTGAACAACATTTCCGTAATGCAGCAAGCATTAACCCTACAAATGCGGTGCTAATCTGTTGTATTGGTCTGGTCCTAGAAAAGATGAACAATCCAAAAGCAGCTCTCATTCAATATGGGCGAGCCTGTTCACTGGCACCACATTCCGTCCTTGCTAGGTTCCGCAAGCTCGTGCTTTGATGAAGCTGCAAGAGCTCAAATTGGCTCTAGCAGAGTTGAAGATTCTTAAAGATATGGCTCCGGACGAAGCAAACGTGCATTATCTCTTGGGTAAACTTTACAAAATGCTGCATGACAAGGCCAACGCTATCAAACACTTCACCACGGCGTTGAATTTGGATCCCAAGGTAAGGATCATGTCAATATTTACCACGAGAATAAGATCACTAACTCGTCTACCTTTAGGCGGCACAATACATAAAGGACGCTATGGAATCATTAGATGACGAAGAGGAGGACGATGAAGATATGGCTTGATTTCTACGGCTCTCCTTTTACCCCTGTCCCAGGCTTTCCTAAACATCCCACACATATGACACTTTCTTTACATTCGTCCGATCTGCTTCGGTTTCCTCAACATTTGGACTTGAGCCACGCTCCTGTTTGGGGTTCTAATTCATGACGGTTGGCGTTTTTCCCTATTTTTCTCCTTTCTGGGTCAAAACTGCGTGAGCATCAGCATTACACGGGCGTTAATAGGCCGGTTGGGTAGAGAGAGCGTTTCCCAGCATCAGGCTCTCGAAAAGGTGTCGAGGCTCTTTGGTTCTGTACATTAGCGTGGGTTGGCTTTCTCGCGTTTTAGCTGCGAATGAGATATGAAGACACCAGGCGACAGATTCGTGGACATATGCCGTCTGTCGTGCGAGGCATTTCCATACTCAATTCATCTTTATGCATATTCTTACATTTGAAGGAACTCAACCGAGGTAAAAACCTGTAAGACGCTCATCAAACACCACATCCCTGCATTGTCACCTGCTCATCAGGGAAGCAAAGGCGGTGAGCGGGGCCAACAAAATTCGCCAGAAAAAGGCGGAAGTGGAAAGAAAGACGACTGTTTGGTAGTTCTGTTTCACTGCATACGTCTTCCTATTGGGATCCTTAATATTCCTAATGTCTTTCTTCTAAGTGTTCCTGGGAGTCTCCGCTTTCTATTAATATTTAGATCGGCCATTGCCATGCGCCAACCGCTCTTGTGATTCTCCTGTGCACCCTTGCTGTTCCCGAGACTCTCTCGCCTGACCTCAGCACCACTGGAAAGTACCAAGTAAGGATGTTCCTCTCTTAATTGGACAGCCTATATAGATCTGACGCTCAGCTTGGGAATTAGGGTCTTTTCTTGTAGACAACATTTTGTTCTTCTCGCCATGTCGTTTCTGTCCTACGTTGCCTCGGGCATCAGCTCGTTCGTCGTCGTCACACTTTCACTTTTCACCCTTGGCCAGAAGGTTCCCCGCGCAGCGTTCGTTGCTCGCTGCCTGGCTTCCTACGGTTCTCTTCTCTTATGTGCCACTTATGGCGTAATCGCTTCGATTTTCTTGCGCCTAGTCGGCTACGGACGGGTATCGCAATGGGCCACCGCGCGCAGCTTCAAGTGGGTCATGCGCTATACAACCGGTGTACACTTTGACATTGTTGAAGGCCAGGAGCATCTCTCCACCCGGCCAGCGGTCTTTGTCGGAAACCATCAATCGGAGCTAGATGTTCTCATGTTGGGTTCGATCTTCCCCCCGTACTGCAGTGTCACAGCCAAGAAATCGCTACGCCATGTGCCCGTCCTCGGTTGGTTCATGTCTCTTTCTCGCACCGTTTTCATCGACAGGGCCAATCGCCAAACGGCCGTAAAGGCGTTCGACAGCGCTGCAGAGGAGATGCGCAATCACCGCCAGAGTGTCTTCATCTTCCCCGAGGGCACAAGAAGCTACTCGGACAAGCCGGGGCTGTTGCCGTTCAAGAAGGGCGCTTTCCATCTCGCTGTGAAAGCCGGTGTGCCTATTGTTCCTGTAGTTTCTGAGAATTACTCCCATGTTCTGTCTCCCCGTCACTGGAGGTTCAACGCTGGTTCAATCCAGGTCAAAGGTACGCTTTTCCTTTCCTCATCCATCCCCTTTGAGCAAATACATATATGAACGAGACTGACGCATCCTAGTTCTCCCTCCCATCAGTACTGAGGGTTTGACTGCGGCTGATGTCGACGCCCTGACCCAGTCGACCCGGGAGTCCATGCTCAAGACTCTGCTCGAGATGTCCGAGAGGAACGAAACCGAGGTTG